CTCATTTGCAGTAGAGAAAGACTCAACACCTTTGAATCTCTGCACTACCCCCTGTGCTCTGCAGACAGCTTAGCTTCTGCCACACAGTTGACAAAGACACATTGTGCTTAGTGGCTTGTGGTGTTGTGAAAGATCTCTGAAGAGGTAGATTCTGGCCCCACCAGAGACTTGTGAAAGTTTGTTATAGACATTTATATTAAAAATAGTGACAAGAAGAAATCAAGTGTCACTTACACAAAATGAAAATACTACAAGACAATATGATTTCTGTGGTGATAACAAGTGAAAGCTTTCCACATGACAGAATAGACAGATGGCAGGTCAAGCAGTTCATGTGTGTGTTGAAATGTTTAACAGAGTAAGGAATAAATGCAATTTAAGAAAATGTATTAATATATTTTCCAAAGAATTTCTTCATTAATTCAAATTAGAAACAAGCCTGCTTCACAGTCAATCCCTCTCCCTCTTCCTCAACTCCTCTCAAAACTCACCCCCATATGCTCCCCATGGAGGATGAGGCCCTCCATGGGTGATCCCCAAAGTCTGTCATACCATCCTGGGCAGTGGCTAACCCCGCCCCATCTGTCCCCTTGTGTCCAGGCTGAGAGAGCATCCCTCCATGTAGAATGGGCTCCTAAAGTCCTTTCTCACAACAGGATAAATCCTGATCTACAGCCAGAGGCCCCACAGAGTTCATAGGCCTCCTCATTGACATCCACGTGCAGGGGTCTGGGTCAGTCCTGTGCTGGCCTCCCAGATGTTAGTCTGGGGTCCATGGGCTCCCCCTTGTTCAGGTCGGCTGTTTCTGTGGGTTTCACCAGCCTGGTCTTGTCCCCTTTGCTCTTTACTCCTCCCTCTCAGCAACTAGATTACAGTTGTGGGGTTCAGTGTTTAGCAGTGGATGTCTGCCTCTGCTTCCATCAGCCACTGGATGAAGGCTCTAGGATAGCATATAAGATAGTTATCAGTCTCATTATAGCGGAAGGGAATTTAGGGTAGCCTTTCCACTGTTGCTTACATTGTCAATTGGTGTCCTTGTTGATCTCCGGAAATCTCCCTAGTGCCAGATCTCTCCTTGAAACTATAATGGCTCCCTATGCTATGGTATCTCTCATCATGCTCTCCTCTATTCTTCCCACGACTTAACCTGCCTGCTCCCCCATTTCCTCCACTCCCCTCCTCTAATCTCTCTCTCAATCTCCCAGCTTTCTCTCCCCTACCCTCATGCTCCCAATTAGCCCAAGAAATTCTATCCCCTTCCCCTTTACTGGGGGAGAGGGTTAGGGCGTGGGGGTGGGGCATGCATTCTTCTCTTACAGTTCTCCTTGTGTCCTAGCTTCTCTGTCAGTGTGGATTATAGCCTGGTAATCCTGTGCTCTGTCTAAAATTAATATATGAGTAAGTACATATTATGTTTTTCTTTTTGTGACTGGGTTACCTCACTCAGGATGGTTTCTTCTAGTTATATTCATTTGCCTGCGAATTTCAAGGTTCCATTGCTCTTTTTCTGCTGAGTGGTAATCATTCCATTGTGAAAATCTACCACATTTTCTGTATCCATTCTTCCGATGAGGGGCACCTAGGTTGCTTGCAGGTTCTAGCTATTACAAACAACGCTGTTATGAACATAGATGAACAGAAGTCCTTGTTGTATGAATGTGCATTATTTGGGTATATGCCCAAGAGAGAAATTGCTGGTTCTTGGGTAGACTGATTCCCATTTTCCTGAGAAACCACCATACTGATTTCCAAAGTGGTCTTACAAGTTTGCACTCCCACCAGCAATGGAGCAGTGTTCATTTTTCTCCATATCCTCTCCAGCATAGACTGTCATTGGTGTTTTTGATTTTAGCCATTCTGGCCAGTGTAAGATGGTATCTCAGAGTTGGTTTGAGTTGCATTTCCCTGATGGCTAAGATGTTGAGCACTTTCTTAAGTCTCTTTCAGTGACTTTAGATTGCTCTGTTGAGAAATATCTATTTAGTTCTGCACCCTACTTATTAATTTCATTGTTTGGTGTTTTGGTGGCTAGCATCTTGAGTTCACTGTATATTTTGGAAATCAGCCCTCTCAGATGTGGGGTTTGTTACGATAAATCTTTCTGCCAAATGTCGCCTGAGCCCCACTGCCACGTGTGAGCTTTAAGCCAGCTGCCTGCCCGAGTTAGGCCCAAATGAATTCACAGAAACTTGTATTAGCAAAGCTGCTTGGCTTATGACTAGGATTCTCATCTGTTAGTTCAGTCTCAATTATCATATATCTATATATTTTATAAGACTTATCTTATCGGACACCTTATTGGCGTCCCTCCTTGCCAGTGGATTACATCCTGCCACTGGAGGAGGCGAACGGGAAAAAGGTACGCTTCCTGTTTCTCCTTCACTTAAATATGAGTCTCTACATCCTGCCACTGGAGGAGGAGTGGAGGGGATAAATAGGCCCCTCCTGTTTCTCCTTCGCTTAAATATGAGTCTCCTTGCCATGTCACTTCCTGCCTGGATCAGCACTTCTCTACTACATTTCCCAGAATCCTCTTTGACTCCTATTGACTCCTGTCTAACTTGCCGTTTCATTGGCCAAACAGTATTTTATTTAACAATCAATAAGATAAACATATATAGTACATTCCCCATCAGGGGTTGGTGAAGATATTTTTCCCATTCCAGGGCTGTGGTTTTGTCTTAATAACTGTGTCCTTTGCCTTACAGAAGCTTCTTAGTTTCAGGAGAGAAATTTATTAATTATCTTTCTCAATGTCTGTTTTCTGGTGTTAGGTTCAGGAAGTAGTCTCCTGTACCAATTTGTTAAAGGGTATCTCCCACTTTCTCTTCTATGGTGTTCACTGTGGCTGGATTTATGTTGAGATCTTTGATCCATTTGTAATTAAATTTTGTGCATGGTGATAGATATGGATCGATCTGCAATCTTCTAATGGCCAAATCCAGTTATGCCAGCACCATTTGTTGAAGATACTTTCTTTTTTACCATTACATAAATTTAGCTTCTTTGTCAAAAACTGTCAAGAACTAAATTTCAAACAGGCCAGGATGGAGGGAACCAAACAAGACTGAAGTTGTGACAAGTTAATTGCTAGCAATCCAAATTATTGAATTCAGGACGATAAGAATATAAAAATTGTAAGGACAGCAGGGGGCACAATAGAGTCATTAATCAGAGGAAATCAGATGGAAATCTGCTGAGGATTGCAAGGAACTCCAGAGTCTCTGTGCACTCCCTTCTTTAAGTCTTAGCTGAACAACATCTGCTACATTTGATATGTGAAGTCTACAATTTTCACACAGAGTAAACAATCAATGTTAAATATTACATACATTTTTCTCCCTTAATTTTAAAATATTTATGTATTTTTTATTTTCGTAAAACTTTGTCATACATTGTATTCTGATGAGATTCCATGTCCAATTCCTCTTAGCTGTTTTCCATATTCCTACAAGAAACCCACAACTTTTCTTTTTCTCAATAGAAAGGAAATTAAACAAATACAAAAGGATTAACGAAAAGAAAAAAAAGCCACCAGGAGCATACACCTAAAATATGCTGAAACAGAAAAATATAAATAGCTTATATATGAAAGAAGAGTGAAAATTCTACCCATTTAGGAATTGATTAAATTTCCTGGACAATTCTCATCATTGCTATCACCACCTGTGTATCTATTTTGTCATGAGAAGGAACTAATGAATCTGGTGGGATTCTATTGTAAATGGAGGGATTAGGCCATGATTTTATGACCACAATGTCTACACAGTTCTCAGGAATGACTGCTTCCTCAGACAGGATGAGGATTTGGACCTCAGCATCCAGTTGACTGACCCAGGTGTCCTCCACCTCCTTCTTCTCCAGCTGCACTAGGTCCTTATCTAAGGAATGAATATGCAAATCATGTGAGTCTATGGTGGTAAATACAGGGATATCCACACCACCACCAACACATGATCAGTGTCCTCTCCACAGTCACTGAGCACACAGGTCCTCACCATGAGATGGAGCTGGATCATCCTCTTCCTGGTGACAGCAGCTACAGGTAAGTGCTCCAAGTTCCAGACATGAGGAGGGGCCATGCACTCAGGTGACAGTGACATCCACTCTGCCTTTGTCCCCACAGGTGTCCACTCCCAGGTCCAGCTGCAGCAGTCTGGGGCTGAGCTGGTGAAGCCTGGGTCCTCAGTGAACTTGTCCTGCAAGACTTCTGGCTACACCTTCACTAGCTCTCTTATGAGCTGGGTGAAACAGAAGACAGCACAGGGCCTGGAGTGGATTGGATGGATTAATCCTTCTCATGGTGGTACTGACTACAATCAGAAATTCAAGGGCAAGGCCACACTGACTGCAGACAAATCCTCCAGCACAGCCTACACGGAGCTCAGCAGCCTGACATCTGAGGACTCTGCAGTCTATTACTGTGCAAGACACAGTGTTTCAACCACATCCTGAGTGTGTCAGAAACCAGGAGGAGCAGGAAGCTGAGAGGACAGATGAGATCAGCCTGGATAATTACACAGAAATAATCATTCTGTGTGTCCCGTTTTTACCCTACTCCTAACAGTCTTACATAGTGTTTGTCAATTTTTCCAAATAATATCTGATAATGAAGTGATCCTTATTGGTTTTCATTCAGTAACCAGATCTTGAGGAGATTTTTATCAGTGAAAACCTACATTGACATGCTTCTGCTTTAATGAAGCAGAGAATAAGAAACTATGACAATACATTATAATGTGTTAGGGAGGGTAGGTGGTGAGGGTGTGTGTGTGACCTTTAAATCTAAGACACTAGGATTTTATTGGGAATACACTATAATATGAATTTGGCTAGGAAAATAAAAATCAACAATATCAGAACAAACAAATCACTTTTCAAAATTCAGTGATGTATCTAAGAGCACACAAAATACTTTGGTGGAAGTTGTCTCCATACAATGTGGGGAGTCTCTTTACCTTTCCTTTAATTACAATTCTATGTGATCATTTATGGGGAGGTCTGATCCTTTATTTCTTTTTTGGTAGTAATCACATTTCTTCTCAATTGAGAGATGAAGATGGTCCAAATGTCACACTGTGGAGTCCTCTGGCATAGAGTCTGTTACTCTCTCAGCATTCTGGGCTCCTGATTATTAACACTGGGCCAGATCATGGGGATCCTACACTGATAATGTAAAAGACATTGATGTCATCAGGAGCCCTGGGTGATCAATGCCCTGTTTCCTGAAATTGGATTGTCTTTGCAACACATTTTATGGTGACACTGACTGACATTGACTGGACATCAGTGTATGTCACAGGATAATCCCGCCAGCCCCACACCAACACACACACACACACACACACACACACACCCCACAAACACAGAGACAGAGGGAGAGACTGAGTCGATTTTTGTTTTTGGAGGTGTCAAGGGCCACTAATGACCTCTGCTGACTTTTGACTCTGTTATTACTTTCACATATCTGTATCTAAGCAATTCTGTCTATGTAGGATTTATTGTTTTTCTTCTGTTTTAATTATGAGAACACACATACCTTGGCTCTACAAAGGCTGAATATCAGGAAAAATAATTCTGCCATTGACAGCAAGGCTACTGTTTTTATTAAAGAAATTTCTTGTCCTCCAAGGCCCACTGTCCTGCCAATGTCTTATTTGCATCATAAAGGTTGGACACCATCATGAACTCTTGCTTAGACATAAGCAACACAGTCAGCAAAAAGGGTTCCCTTATCTGTGAATGCTGGGGAACTGTCAACAGAAAGATTAAAAGTAATATGAATGCTGAGTTGTTGTTAGATTGGACTAGCTGGACTCATGCAAGGTGCATAGGGCTGAGTTCTGTGGGGACAGCCTGGAATTCTCAAGAATAGACAAAGCTTCCATTCTCCACAGAACTCCATCTTAGGACTGCCATGGTCCATCACAGTCACAAGAGATTCCTAGGAAAGCAATCCTGACCTGTGCAAAATTGCTGAGAGAGTATAAATCTGTATACAAACATTTCATAGCAATCCATACATAGGAGTGAGATTAATCAATTTGAGACCTTGTTCTATTGAAGAAAACACACAGGAACACAGTCTGAAATATCATTATGATTTACAATGAAATCAAGTCCACATGATCAATAACATTGATAAGTATTTTTACCATAAGACATCAAAAAGGAAAACCAAAATAAATCAGTTATGCAGAGCCTGGGGAGTAAGTGCAGAGGGGCCAGCAAAGGTGTTTCCTGACTCTACTCAGAGTTTATTCCTCTCAGTTAACCACACATAAGGCCCAGGAGACCATCTCCTATGGCAGTTAGAATCCTCCTCTAGAAAGATATAAGGTCAGTTATTTCCTAGAGTCTATGTCACTCTCCTGCGAATGCTGCAGAGAAGCAAATGACACAATTCAAGGACTCTTTCAATCAACATGTAGACAGTACATCTCATAAAAAATGAAATCCTCAATTGGAAACTAGGACTGGACATTCTTGTCTCATGGAGAGGCAATCTCAAGGTTCTTCATGCTGAGTCTCACCCAATCAGGACAGAGGTCATGTTGGGGAGGGGACAGGTCTGAAAGGATGGATGGACACCCGAGCAGGGTCCATGAATGAGACCTCAAGATTTCTCTCTGTCGTTTTGCAGAGGCACACATTGTTCCTTCATTAGTTTGAAAATGTTTAAAACTAGTGACCTGATTACAGAAATGCTAATTGAAACACAGTCCTTACCAGACTAATAATTAATGCAAACAAAGTGTTAAATTTCAAAATTGAAAGTTACTCCCAGAAAAATAATAGTGTATAGAATTTATATATCATTGTTCTTCCATACTGGGTTTCACACACCAGACTTTTACAGGAATTAACAGTAAGCAACATCCTTTAAAACAATTTCTTCAATTTAATATTTAGACTCATCATGTATAAAACTTTGCTAATTCTTCTAAAATTATCAAATTTGTATTGTAATGGCCTTTGTAGACCTAATAAGAGAGAGTGGTGTCTGTTGTGAAAATTCAATTAATTAAAAAATAAATAAGACCAAATTATATCAGAAATAATTATTGATGATATTTTTAATTCTTTCCCTGTTACTTGTTTCTGTCTCTTTCATTTGGTCTAGGCATTTAAATTTCTAATACTCCCAACACAAACCTTCTTATAAAGAGCTGGAAATGAAAACAAGGCCTCCCTTTGCTCTTGAAAACCAGAATAGTCCTAACTCTGCAGAACCTGCTGAGGAGCCCAGGCCTGGATACCAAGGCTTCCCATTGATTGATAACACTGAAGGAAATCCACTCACAATGGAGTTGTGCATGAGGGGAGACTCCCTTGTTGCTTTTAAAATTTTAAGTATTTTTTTGAGAATTTCTGAGTCTTAGTACTGTGGCAGTCAATGTCCCCACTCAAATTCTTCTTGTGTCCAACTCATGCTCACTCTCAAATTCATGATTTCTTCATCCTTACATAATACATTTCCTGTCTCTCTGCTTCCTTCTCTCTCTCTCTCTCTCTCTCTCTCTCTCTCTCTCTCAATTTTTAAATATTTTTTGAGAATTTCTTAATCTTAGTACCGTGGCAGTCAATGTCCCCACTCAAATTCATCTTGTGTCCAACTCATGCTCACTCTCAAATTCATGACTTCTTCATCCGTACATAATAATTTTCCCGTCTCTCCTCTTCCTCTAATCATCGGGTGTTTTAGGGAGGTCACAGAAGAGCAGGTCTTTATTGTAGTTGGGGAAGGTCCGAACTGGAGGAGCTAAATGTTAAGTACAGGTCATCAAAATGTGTTTTAATCATTGTTAAAGCAGAACCACAGTGTTTATATTCATATAGTTGTTCTATTGTTTAGTTGAGCGTCAATAGAGGACCTTTATGCCTGATATGCTGTACCACTCAGCAACAATGTGTTAATTCAGCTTAACAAATGCTTTCACTATTCACCGAACCATTTTTTTAAAATGATTTTGGTTTCGTTTTTTTTCTCTGAGTTTCTTATTAGTAAATTAAGGTTGAAAAGTTGTATTTCTTTTTTAAAACCTAAAATGATATTAAGTAAATTTTCTTTTTTTCTTATTCATTCTTTTTCACTCTTCCTCCTGACAAACAGCTCCATACAGACCAAGTGTAACTCAAACTCTTAATTCCCCTGCCGCATTCTCTTGTCTACAGTGCAGTCCTGGGAATAAACATATGGCTTCAAAAATGCAAAACAATACTCTACCAACTAACCTGTGGCCCTGGAGAGTAAGTGATGCTTTCATACCATAAACTCCACTTTGGTCTTTATTTCATCTCAGTCATTTGCACCCTTATTTGTCTCCACTAAGCTCCTGGCGCTGAGTTCATGACATAGCAGGAAGACATGCAAATTATGTCCCCCTCTGCCCATGAAAACCTGTCCTGAACCTACAGTTCTGACAGAGGCACCCAGGTCTGGACTCACCGGTCCTCCCATTCTGTGGTCATCACTGAACACTCAACACTCAGCATGGACTTGATACTGAGATGGGTTTTCCTTGTTGCTCTGTTCAAAAGGTAATTTATACATAAGGAGAGATACTAAATGTTTGGTCAAATGTAAGTGAGACATTGGACATCCGTTGAGTGTGTACTGACAGAATTCTCTGTTTGCAGGCATCCAGTGTGAGGTTCAGCTGGTGGAGTCTGGTGGAGACTTGGTACAGCCTGGGGGTTCCCTGAAACTCTCCTGTGCAGCCTCTGGATTCAGCTTCAGTGACTACTGGATGGACTGGGTCCGCCAGGCTCCAGGGAAGGGGCTGGAGTGGGTTGCAGAAATTAATGGAGACAGCAGTGACTACAGGTATCCGTGAAAGGCAGATTCACCGTCTCAACAGACGACTCCAAAAGCAGCGTCTACCTGCAAATGAACAACTTAAGAGCCGAGGACACCACTATTTATTACTGTGCTGGACACACAGTGAGAGGACTTTAGTGTGAAACTGACACAAACCTCCCTGCAGGAGCGCTCAGAACCAGCAGGGAGCGCACTGCGCACATGGAAAACCAGCACATTGCAGGAACGGGTGCAGATGTAACTGAGTGTTCCTGGGTTCTCAGTCTCAGCTGGCACTCCATCTGATGCTTTCCCATAATGCTGTCTGCACTTGGGGTCTGTAAGGAAGGAAAAAACAGAGTTCTGTTTTCCCTCCATGAAAACACACACACAGACACACACACACACACACACACACACACACACACACACACACACACACACGGTCTAAATAAACTAAATGCTACAAATCACCACTGATTGCAGAACTGGCTGCTGTTGTCACCGGGATCAAATGTTATTGACTCTTAAAATTTGTAAAAATCCTGTTTTTCCAACTCTTATGCTTCCCCCACTTAAAGCATATAATGTCTTGCTTAAGTGAAGTCTCTTGACAACAGACAGGCAGTATCTACACCCTATATTTGATTCTGTG